TGGAGAGGAAATGTTTTGACAATGATGAGGGCAATGAATGTACAAATGTGCTTTACACAATTGATGTATGTATGGATTGTGATAAGAGTTGTATGAGGCCCTAATAAAATGATTTTAAAAATCATATAGCATGACTATTTTTGGTATTTTAGCAAAACATTTTCATAAATAACATTACATCAAAAGAATGTGTATAATTGACATGTGTGCTTTCATTTGGATGATTTGTTTTTTTCTAATTATTTTTTACTAATTAAATTCTCAGAAGTGGAGAGGCTGAATGGATGAGTTTTAAGACTCATGGCATATGCTGCCAAAATATTTTATGAAGCTATTAATGATTTACATTCCAATCATCTATGAGAGTGTTCCTTTCTTTACACTCTTACTAGTATTTTAATGATTTGTTTTACTTTAACTGTTGCTTGTATCATAAGCTTAAAGTGATACCTCTTTTTAAAATTTGGATTTCTTTGATGACTAATTGATTGCTTCTTAGGGCTGTTAATCAATTTATGGGTCCTCCTATTCTTTATTCCTACACATATGACAATTTTAAGGGTCTTCATAAGTCCTTAATATTAAAATTTTAAATTTGATTGTATCTTACATGTAGTGAAAATGTTTCCCCAATTATCTCTTCATCTCTTATTAACAAAAATAAACAAAAGTTCTTTGAAAAGGCTAAGCTTGTTTTCTTGACATAAATAACTTTTCAATGTTCCAATGATTAAGCCAACAACATTCTTTGGATTTAGTATCACTGTTAGAACATCCTTCTTTATGCCGAGTCCATGTGTACAGTGGCTCTTGAAGAATTTCTTATGGTGTGCTAGTTTTTTTAACAGCAGCTTTATTGAGACACAATGCACATAGGACCAAGTGTAAAACTCAGTGGTTTTTAGTACGGGTGTGGTATTTTTTAATTAAACAATCCTTTACATTTAGAAGGATATCAGATAGTTGAGATAGTTCTCTCGCTTCGCATCTCTTACTTTCTACAAGTGTGCTTCAGTGTTTCTGCCTATTTCATGTCAATTAATTATTTACCAACTTTGACACTGATGGTCTCTGAACTATCCTTTTAAACTATCTTTCACTCATATAGAAGCCACACACTTTCTCTACTAGGACCTTTCTTCCCTCCTTTGTGACACTTCCTTCTCCAGATGCCCATTAAGTCCCCTATCATTGGCAAAAACTACCCTCTTACATCATCCCACTATGGTGGGCTATCTCTTTATCCAAAGAAAGCCTGGTGATGCCAGGATGAAAGCACTCAGTTGCTGACTGAAAAGTCAGTGGAGCAAACCTACAGGAAATAAGACCTAGCAATCTTCTCCCATAAAGATTCCAACCAAAACCAAACTCAATGCCACTGAGTTGATGCTGATTCATAGCAATCCTTTAGGACAGGGTAGAACTGTCCCCTGTGAGTTTTCAAGAGTGCAGCTCTTTATGTGAATAGAAAGTCCCATCTTTCTCCCACAGAGCACTGGTGGTTTCAAACTTCTGACTTGGCAGTTAGCAGCCCAATGAATAACCACTGCGCCACCAGGGCTTCCCCAGAAAGGTTATAGCCTAGTCTCACTTAATTCTAACCCCAATGCAAGAACAGTTAGTTCTGATAACATGACCCTGTCGATACTTGCCTTCATGAAAAGATTACTGAAGATAAGGGTGCTACAGCAAAGTGTGGTGAAGAAGGCAGATGGTTCCCAGCTATCAATTGGAATGGTGCCTGGGATCTTAAAGTCTTGTATTCAAACAAACAGCCATGTAAGTGAGGGGCCAAACTAGTCCACATGGAAAAAGCACACCAGTCTGTGTGATCCAAAGATGGCAATAACTAACTCCAAATATGATGAAGGGAAAAAATCAGACCTTAAATTGTGACCTCCCGATTGGAGACGGATATGAGGGACAATGGAAGCCCAAAACCCATCTGCGGAGTATCGAGCCGCATTAAGCCTTTGGCAGATCCCCTCTGGGCACAGTTGAGGGACGAGAACAGCCTTGTTATCAGATAGAGATTATTAGAGCCTTAATTATGGTGTTTGGAACTATGGTATAATGTGATACCTGGTCAGATAATCTCCCTCTTGACCCAGTCTGAATTTACTCTAGGTTTAACTATTTCTGGCTTGTTCCATGACAGAAATTTCCTGTCTGCTTTTTTAATATTGCTGGTCATCTTTTATTTCTTACTCTTTGTTTTTCTCTTTATATATATTTTTATTTCTATTTTGGTTTTTTATTGTTTAATGGCCACTCTTAGAAACTTGGGTCTACTTAGCGTTCAAGTTGGCTTTCTCACAACCAGGAAGTCCAGGCTCTCCCTCCTAGTGGACTCGCTCCAATAGTTGCTGAGATCTCCCCATGCTTGTCATCTGGTGGCCATAGTCCCCCTGCCTACAAGGATGGCTGCTCTTGTCTCTTTCAATAGCCAGAGAAATGAGGCCAGAAATGGAAATAAAAGACATCCTAGTTGGAAAGAAAGAAGTAAAATTATCTCTCTTCATAAAAAAATGGATGCTGTAATTTTGAAATCCTAAGAAATACACACACACACACACACACACACACACATAAATTGGAACTAAAAACAATATAGACTCAATGAACTCCTACACTTATCAACATCCACATGCCATTTTGGCAGAAATTGATCAAATTATCCTAAAACATATCCAAAGGACTCAGGATAGTCAAAACAATCTTGACCAAAAAAAAGAAGTGCACACTAGTGTTCATCCCAACAGTAGTCATAGCAGCTTGAATGGCTGAAGTTTCACGTTGCTTGTAAGAATGCAAAAGGTACAGCCAGTGGCCAA